TTCTCCTTTTGCATTCAGTCTTTCCCAGCATCAGGCTCTTTCCCAATGTGTCAGTTTTTCACATCAGGTAGCCAAAGTATTGGAGCTTCAACTTTAGCAACAGTTCTTCCAATGAATATTCAGGATTGATTTATTTTAGGATTGACTGGTTTGATCTTCTTGCAGTCCAATGGACTCTCAAATATGTGTTTATGTTTATAAAAAGCCACCAAGCCACTTCCTATGTGTCAATATCATTTTGTTCTCCACCAGAGATGAAAACAAGTTCTAACTGCTTCACAACTGTTTACCAACACTTGGTATTATCATGTGTGTGTGTGCATGTGGGGGTGGGGGGACGGGGAGTGTGTGGCACGCTTGTGTGTTTAGACATTCTTTTAGAGGCCTAGTGGTACTTCATTAGTTCTGTTTAGATTTCCTAATGGCTAATTATATCTTGACCTCACTATACTTGGTTGGATGGATAAAATGAAACTGAGTTACTCTTAGTGTTCTGGCCTCTTTGCCCATATTATTGATGTTTCATTGCTTTCCTTGTGTCCAGTGACTGTCCTCCACCCACTGCTTTATCTTGACCTTACATTACCCTTCTTTGGACAGATGGACAACTACTTATATACTCCACAGGGACATTTTACCCAAACTAATCTTCTTCAGGTCCTCACCACAGGTCCAACTCTAGGGACAGCCCAAGGCACACCATGATAATTGCTTTTCTCAGCAGAACCCCGGTTTCCTTGTCCTGAGGGCCCAGGGGAGTGAGCGGCAGATGAGCATGCCACCTGGACCCAGTGCTCTGCCAAGGGGCTGCTGTCCGTGTCCCTTTGCACCTCAGATTGATTCCCAGGGGAAAGTGGGTCGTGCAGGCCTGAGATCTTGTGTCAATACTACCCTCTTCTGTGGGGACTACCACAAGCTGGTACCTTTCTCCTTGAGCTCTCGGGGCCAACAGCAGCAGCTATGCTTCTGATTTCAAACCACAGTGAGACACAGCATGCTTAAGTTTATCAGATTCTAGATGCCTTCTTGAATGGAGAAGCTAAAATGTGTTTCTTATTCTCCAATTTCTTTATACTGCATGTAGTGAAGGTAAGTAGTGTTTCATGGAACTTTTGTTTTGGATATGTGTGTGTGTGTGTGTGTGTGTGTGTGTGTGTGTATACACATATGTGTATACACATATATGCATATATGGTCACAGGTCTACTAGATGGCAATGGAAATGTATTTCATTACTCGGGCTGTGTTTGAAAAGTTTGAAAGCTATTGGCCTAGGATATAGAAAGCAAAGTACCCTCCAAACTTGCAGTCCATTTATTCAAGAGACGGAGCCAAGAAGCAATTCAGCAACAATGATGGAGCTTAGAAGAATCCAAATACAAATAGAAAATGTTCCTTTTTTCCCCCAGACAAGACTGAGATTTCTTTGGCATTATGTGCAGCTACAGGAGGAACACCCTCAGAGATGCATCTGGGTTCCCTCAAAATCTCTCCTTTCTGTATCTTTTCAGTCTCCATTCTCATGATTTTGCTCTCAGATTAAGTGGGGCACGCAGAAAATACCCACCTGAGTGGTGGAGTTCTTAGAGGGAAAATGCTAATGTAATACTGGCATATATTTTCCAAGCATGCTGATCCAGAAGAACACAAGAAGCAGAAGAGTGGCTAGTAATTCATGCTAGAATGCCTCGAACTAGGAGGCAGGGGGTGCGGGTGTCAGACAAGAGTCTGATTCTGACTTGTTTATGTTCTAGAAATTAGATAGCAAGGCCCCGGGTGCATGATGGAGAGGGGCAACTGGCTTAGGTGAGAGAGAGATATGGCATCATTAACTGGTAATACACCAGAAAAGGTACCAGCCCTGTGTCTAAAGAGAATAACAAAAGGCCTCCATTAGGCAGAAGGTTCTAAGGAAACTCAGATTCCATTCCCTGTGAGGAATTATCAGTAACTGGGTTTGAGACAGACACCTTTGCAGTTGGTTTTAAAGACTGAGGTGATTTGAGAGCCTCATAGACCTTGGATGAGTGTGTGAGGTACCAGCCTTCCTGAAATGAAGACAGCCTTCCTGTCTCTGAAGAGCTAAGGCAGGGAGGGTACCACTGCGAGAGGATCATAATGCTGACACCACCGGCCCTCACCCCACCCTGGCTCCTGTCCTTTCCCACCCTCTGTTCACAATTGGATTCTAATCAATTCCATCGCTGGCCCTTTGTCAAATTCCCCTAGTGGTGTCCTTCCCAGTCTGTTCTCCTCCAGACATGCCCTGTTCATTTTTTGTTATTTATTTATTTATTTTGTATTTGGGTTGTCATTCTTTATTTTCTTTCAAGGCCAGTCAGGTTACTTAAAAAAATAAATAATAAAAGCACTTCTCATTCATCAGCTAAATTATGTCATTAAAAAGCAAACAAACAAACACAAAAACCCAGAAGAGCTGACTTCTATGAAAGTCTTTCCCTTTCGTCCCACTGGGATCCTCTCAGAACTGCAATACACTTCAATTCATGAAGACCCTCAAAGAATGGGGGTAAGTATGAATACAATTAAAATTTCGAGATAGCTGAGTGTTATCTAGAAAACCTGCTGAAGGCTTGTTTATATGTATCTAAACAATTTGAATTACCTTTCCTTTGGAACTTGAATGGAAAGTCAAGGGAATCTTCCTTTGACATAGATTGCTGTCATTCTAAATATCTCTTCTTATTGCTCAGATGTGGGCAGAGAAGTAATAAAAGTGAGTCAAATCTGTGCTTACTCTTGAACCCTTCTGGATGATGAATCTCCTCACTCTGTAGCTACTTGTGTTGTGGTGATGCTCTTCTTCCTTCAGAATATCAAAGGTATGCAAATCTCAATACACAGGGAGCTCTGGCAAGCGTAGTCTACATTATCTGTGGTATCCTTTGCCAACCAACGGAGGAAAAGAAAGGGAAGGGCTTATTCCACCTTTTTTAAAGTGACAATTGGCTGCGACCCAAAATAAAATAAGAATTATCCAAAGTCCACAGTGAACTGGTGGCACAGCCAATGATAGGGGCCAGGTCACCAAGCTGGGCCATCTGAGATAGAAAACAGTTCAGTTCAGTTCAGTTCAGTCAGTCATGTCCAACTCTTTGCAACGCTATGGACTGCAGCACACCAGGCTCCCTATCCATCAGCAACTCCCAGAGTTTACTCAAACTCATGCCCGTTGAGTCGGTGATGCCATCCAACCATCTCATCCTCTGTTGTCCCCTTCTCCTCTCACCTTCAATCTTTCCCAGCATCAGGGTCTTTTCCAATGAGTCAGTTCTTCGCATCTGGTGGCCGAAGTATTGGAGTTTCAGCTTCAACATCAGTCCTTCCAATGAATATTCAGGACTGATTTCCTTTAGGATGGATTGGTTGGATCTTCTTGCAGTCCAAGGAACTCTCAAGAGTCTTCTCCAACACCACAGTTCAAAAGCATCAATTCTTTGGTTCTCAGCTTTCTTTATAGTCCAACTCTCACATCCATATATAACTACTGGAAAAACCATAGCTTTGACTAGATGGACCTTTGTTGGCAAAGTAACGCCTCTGCTTTTTAATATGCTGTCTAGGTTGGTCATAGATTTTCTTCCAAGGAGCAAGTGTCTTTTAATTTCATGGCTGCAGTCACCATCTGCAGTGACTTTGGAGCCCCAAAAAATAAAGTCTGTCACTGTTTCCACTGTTTCCCCATCTATTTGCCATGAAGTGATGGGACTGGATGCCATGATCTTAGTTTTCTGAATGAACTTAGTTTTCTTAGTTTAAGCCAACTTTTTCACCCTCCTCTCTCACTTTCATCAAGAGGCTCTTTAGTTCCTCTTCACTTTCTGCCACAAGTGTGGTGTCATCTGCATATCTGAGGTTATTGATATTTCTCCCAACAGTCTTGATTCCAGCTTGTGATTCATCCAGCCTGGCATTTCACATGATGTACTCTGCATATAAGTTAAATGAGCAGGATGACAATATACAATCTTGACATACACCTTTCCCAATTTGGAACCAGTTTGTTGTTCCATGTCCAGTTCTAACTGTTGCTTCTTGACCTGCATGCAGATTTCTCAGGAAGCCAATAAGGTGGTCCAGTATTCCCATCTCTTTAAGAATTTTCCACAGATTTTTGTGATCCTTCATCCTTAATTATCTTATTTATTAATTTATTAAGAGAACAGCTACCTCACTACTAATCAGAACACTTCAACTTACCACCATTACAGATTATACCTCAATGCCTTGAAAACCTGTATACAAGCCCTTTCTGAACAAAATCCTATGTTCTCTATTTTTATTTATTTTTAATTTTTATTGAAATATAGTTGATTTACAATGTTTCAGGTGTACAGAAAAGTGATTCATTTATATGTATATGTATATATATACACACATATATGTATATATATACACACATATATGTATATATTTATACATATGTATATGAATGTGTGTGTGTATTCTTTTTCAGATTCTTTTCCATTATTATAAGTTATTATAAGATACTGAATATGCTTCTTGGTGCTATGCAGCAGGTCTTGTTTATCTGTTTTATATATAGTAGTATATATTGGTTAATCTCAAATGTTCTCTAGGAGTAACTACTTCAGTCGTTATCAACCACTCCCACCCCAGAGGAAATGTTGGTAGTTAATTAAGGATAAATAAGTCAATTAAGTATAAAGTCCTCTGAACAAAGTACAGAGATGTGTAGGGTGGGGCAAAGAAGATGAGTAAGAGGAGGATGGAATATCTGGTTTGCAGCGGGAGGCGGGTGGAGGGAGTGGGGGGATTGTGTGGAGGCCAGCAGAAATGAACTTAAACTTCTCCTATAGACCATGTGGAATATGACATTTCTCAACATTCTCCTCCTCTTTTCCTCTTGTGTACTCCAACACACTGTGGACAATCCTGGGGCATTTCTCCCTAGGCTTCTCCAAAACTATAGACATTTTGCCCCAACATGGTTCTCCATCTCTCACCCTTTTTCCTAGGTAGCAGGTATCAAAGGGATATTCCTGGCAAACAAGAAGGTGGATGACCAGGTGAAGACATACATCACGTACAACAAAGGCAGGGATTGGCGCCTCCTGCAAGCTCCAGATGTGGACCTGAGAGGCAACCCAGTACACTGCCTGCTGGTCAGTGTCCTGTCTCATGTGAGGCCACAGGGCAGACTGCTTACCTGGGGATTCTCCATCAGGGGCTTTATTCTACCAAAGAGGCCTTAGGAATGTGCCTGGTGCTGGGCAGGGATTTCCTACAACTCCTAGGGCATTGATCTGTGGACTCAGACTGCCATATCATCTGGATGGAAAGTTCAGTTGGATTCCACAAGCTTTTACTGAGAGTATACTATGTGCTACAACTTCTAGTTAAGAGAAAGAAGCATAAGAGAAAGCCTGCGCCCAAGGGTCCCAGGCAGAGTTCAGTAGTGGTAAATACCTATTAGCTGACACTGATGATACCATTTGATAAGTGCTTGAAAATGGGCAAGGTAAGTAAAAGCTGCTTTAGAAGCCCAAGAAATGCAGGCTGGTATGTCCACATGGGCAGGAGTTAATCTCTCAGCATTCCCAGGGTTCCAGCTATATGGGATATTGACATAGACACATAGAGGATTTAATGTATAAGACATTATCTATGTTCTCAGGGGCTGCAACTCCAAATGAAGAGGGAAGACAGATCATTAACAGTGAAATTCACAACCCGCAATGCCCTCTTAAAGAGGATATATGTGAGAAACATTTCTACAGTCCCAGAAATGATTGTTTCCCCTTCGCAAAAAAAAGTTGCCTTTCACTACTTACTGAATATTCCAGACATTATGTTAAAAACTGGGAGTATGGTGGTAAATAGGATTAACATGACCTTTTCCTTTTGTAGTTTTCAGTCCAGCTCCATGTTTTTGGCTTGGGGTACTAGGAAGGTCAGAGACATATGCCTGCCTGTGTCCAAGAACTGGTCACAGCAAGAATTCCCCCCTCCCCAAACCTTACCCATGGATTTCATCTTATTTTATTAATCTAGTTTTCTCCTTTCCCCAATTTCACAATTTTTTTATGTTTTTTTTTTTCCATTATGTGTCTACATCTCTCTCAATCCCTAATCCTTTTTAAAGAAACTCAACTAGGGATAAATGAGTAAAGAAGACAAACTTATACAAGTTTCAGATAATGGCTTCAGACATTTTAAGTGAAATTCAAAGTAAAATTATAAATGGGAACCAAACACATGAAGCAGAAAGAGGGACCATCTGATTGAGGAAGAGGTTTGAGGGTCAAGGCAGTCTCTCTTCACTTCCCCCTCCACTGCTCCCAGGGGCCCACAGAGCTCCAAGAAGCAGAGTGTGATGGCCACGGTCAGAGACGGGAGAAGGTCAGCGTCATCCTGTGGGTGGGAAGGAAGGAGTGGTCAGGAGGCTTCATGAGGCTGACCATGAACTGGACCTTGATAGATAGAGTGGGGGTGAGAAAGGGAGGGGAAGCATGCAATTGTGACGGGAGCAGGGACAGGAAGGGGCCTATGAATGGTGCTCAGGGCAGGTTCTGATGTGATTCTATCATCTGTTCAGGGAGAGATGACTCCTGCCCCAGGTCATCTCTTGGGGAAGTGAGTGAGTGACTTATATCTAACCCTTGCTATTCCTGGAAGGTTGGTGCCTGGGAGCCCTATATCTGGTGGGGGCAGGGATGCATGTCAGGAGTTCCCTGGAGTGAAACTACTTTCTTCTTCTCCATTTTAGCCTTTCTGCTCCCTACACCTACACTTGCAGATCTCCGAAAATCCATATTCCTCGGGAAGAATCTCCAGCAAGGAGACAGCTCCAGGGCTCGTGGTGGCTACAGGTAAGGAAGACTGAGCCGCTTCCTTACTGAGGGCTTCTGGCATATGTCATGACCTCTTTGTAATCATTTGAGCATCAGATAAAAGCTGTGGGCGTTCATCCCAGAAAACAGGCAGAATCTGTGGAACTGCAAGGCCAACCTAATAACCCAGGCAAAGAGCTACAAAACCTTGTAACTTTTGGTAAATGCCACATTGCACGAGGTCACAGGGCAGTCCCCTGTGTTAGCTAGAGGTCAGAGTTCCTTTTCAAGTCAGCTGACTGATCAGAAAGGTTATTTGTAATAGGGAATTCTCACTTTAAGAAAATGTGATATAGGAATTTAGCTCACCAAGTATAAGTTGGGGTAGTTTTCTCTTTGCATAGAGTATTCTTTACAAAAGGTTTCACCCCAGAGCTGTTTTTAATCAGGAGGTCTCTGGTGCATGTAAAGGTTTGTTTACACATGATTAACCACTTGGCTGAGGGCCTGGGGGAAAGGGCAGAAAAACTCCAGGTTGCATTGTTGGAACCACTGTCCACTGAACATCAATCAGAAATGAAGATAAAACAACTCCGAGATGAAAATGAAAGTCTCCTGGGGAAAGTGCTCTGATTAGCATGCATCTGATTTCCATACACCTTTTCAGGAATACATTAATGGCATAAAGCAAAGCAGGCCTCTAATCTTCTAAGTTAGAGCTCTGGTATGAGGCAGTTTTTTCTAATGAAAGTAGATAAATTCACAGAGACTTGCCGAGATAGTAAACTCATCAGCCTGAAGCTCCAGGCCCTAGAGTTACTACTCTGCTAGCCACAACTTCCTTCTCCAACCCTTCAACTGCCTGAACTTTTAAACGCCACCAGTGACCATCCACTCAAATTGGGGTGACAGCTAGCATAGCCTTCTGAAGATACCTCAGTCAACTCTCCACCCAGAGGAACCTGGATCCACCATATTTAACACCACTGGCTTCAGGGAGCCCAGCACAGTGAGTGTTGAAGGCAGACTCTGGTACTATGTTCCTGACTGGGGGAGCGACCCCCACACTCCCTCATCCATGCCTGTTAGACCTCCCAACTGTGGGACTGCTATACTTTGCCTCTCCTCCAGGCCTACAGGAGGCCCTGGACTGGAGCGGAAGGAACACTAGAGAAGAGTAATCGATAATAAAAGTTACAGAGCACTGACTTTGGGTTCCCTGTGGGATGGAGTGGAAAGGGAGGTGGCAGGGGTTTCAGTAGGGAGGGGACACATGTATGCCTGTGGCTGATCCATGTTGATGTGTGGCAGAGGCCATCACAATATTGTAAAGTAATTATCCTCCAATGAAAATAAATTATAAAAAAAGGAAAAAAAAATAAAATTTATCATTATGTAAATGCTATCTATGTAGCCAGGATTGCCTTATGTGGCTTAACCAGTCTAAACATTGGTGTTTTCACTGACAGTGGAAAAAATAGTACCGACATAATGGAACTGGAGTATTAAACAAAGCAATGGATTTCCAGTGTTCAAAACAGTGCCTCGGAGATATTGAATGCTCAATACATGATACCTTTTATAATCTCATCATTAATATTACAGAAATTTAGGGCTGCTCTTATTGCACCAGAAGAATATGATTTGTACACTTCTTTCAATAGAATCCACAAATAATGTGTGTTCACTGTGCATCTCCAGTATGAATGAATGCACTTAGGAATTCTGTAGGCCTGCTTTCCAAGCTGAGCTCTGACACTTATGAGACTTAAGAATTTGACCAAGTTCTTTAACCTCTGTGCTTTATTTTCCTCATCTGCAAATCAAGTTATCTTTCCCTGCCTTGTAAGGATGTTGTAGGAATTAGAGACTGGAGAGTGTGCCTACAAGATCCCGCTGAGGGCTCAGAGCATAGTCGGGAGGGTTGGGCCTCTAAATTACTCTAAGTTTTTATGAGCTAACAAACACCTAAACATTCAAGACTGGATTCTGAAACTTCTTTTGCCCATATGCATGAGAATTTACTAAAACTCTCCCCTTTGTAACTTTGCATAGTGCATTGAGAGGGGACAAGATCCTCATGAAAAGCCAGTACTGGGTCACTGACAGATGCCTCCTTATTCCCAGCTTCTCTTTACCCTGCTTACCGGTTCTCCCTGAAGGTCATTTCGCTATCAGAAAAATAATTACGAACTTAGCCAAGGATGCCTTCAGTGGTCTGGATGGACCTGTCTCTCCAGAGCCTTTTCCAGATCTATGCATATCTCCTGCCTTCAGGTGTCAGTGACCCTGGTCCCTCTCATCTTCACTCCTTACTGCCTCCTCCTTTCTCTCACTGAGACCAGGGCTCAGGGAAGCTGCATGGATGGCAGTGCCTGCTGGGATTCATCTCTTACTCCTGTTGAGACCTTCTCTGAAGGCAGATGGAATTCCAGTCTGGAGAGTTTGGCAATTGCTTTTTAGCAGCAGAAGCACCAGAGTACTAAGTATCCTTACGTTTCAAGCTGGTCATCGAGACCGTACATCCTCCCAGGGCGTTAAGGTGTACAGAGCACTTTCCTGCTGTGACTGCAGATGGCCCTGTGATGTGGATTTATGGGTGAGGAGGTGGAAGCAGGAGGAACAGGTGTCCTGCCCTCACTCACACTCCCTCCGCCTCCGAGTGTATCCCATCCAGTAGCCGTTCAGCCAGACCTAGTCCTGAGCCCCTTCACCTGCCAGCCCCACCGCTGCTCCGGGCTCCCTGCATGCTTGCTGTGCACTCTGAATATTCACACAGAGATAGTGTTTATCGTCCCCTCCACAGAGGTGCTTTCCTTTCCTGCAGTGACTTTTGTACTGTCCGCTTCCTCTCCCATTTAATTACCCTGAGTGGACATCAGTTGTGGTGAGAGAAAGCATCTCTAACCTCAGAGCATGTTAAAATTCTCCCCATCTCTTTGTGTTTCTGTCTCTCTCTCTCTTTTCCAGGATTGTCTAAATAAAGCCTTGGGAGAAAGGTGCCTTGGGAGGACATGAGGCTAAAAGCATGCTGTTAACAGCTGCCCAGATGGGCAGCAGAACCTCTGTGATTGACCAGCTAAGCTGTTGTTGAGAGGAGCTCCCTGTTTTCCATGGCTCTCCCCCTTTCTCCCTCCTATCACACCACTCCAGAGGGGATGAGCTGCCTATTCCTCTAACCTGGCCTGGGGCCACCCACCAGCATTCAGATCTTCCTTCTCTCACACCATAATCCAGACTCTCCCTCTCAGAGGTTTCCTTCCTATAGGTCCAATTAGGGACTGAATGTGTTCAAAGATCAAGTCATCCTGGACACCTCTTTTCTGTCCTTTCCTCTGGGAACTGACTTTTGGTCTCTGTGATCAGTAACATTTCTTTCAGGGATCCTTTCAGTTGACCCAAGATATTTCTTTTTCTTTTTTTTTTCCATTTATTTTTATTAGTTGGAGGCTAATTACTTTACATCATTGCAATGGTTTTTGTCATACATTGAAATGAATTAGCCATGGATTTACATGTATTCCCCATCCCGGTCCCCCCTCCCACCTCCCTCTCCACTCGATCCCTCTGGGTCTTCCCAGTGCACCAGGCCTGAGCACTTGTCTCATGCATCCAACCTGGGCTGGTGATCTGTTTCACCCTAGATAATATACATGTTTCAATGCTGTTCTCTTGAAACATCCCACCCTCGCCTTCTCCCAGAGTCCACAAGTCTGTTCTATACATCTGAGTCTCTTTTTCTGTTTTGCATATAGGGTTATCATTACCATCTTTCTAAATTCCATATATATGTGTTAGTATACTGTAATGGTCTTTATCTTTCTGGCTTACTTCGCTCTGTATAATGGGCTCCAGTTTCATCCATCTCATTAGAACTGATTCAAATGAATTCTTTTTAATGGCTGAGTAATATTCCATGGTGTATATGTACCACAGCTTCCTCATCCATTCGTCTGCTGATGGGCATCTAGGTTGCTTCCATGTCCTGGCCATTATAAACAGTGCTGCGATGAACATTGGGGTGCACGTGTCTCTTTCAGATCTGGTTTCCTCGGTGTGTATGCCCAGAAGTGGGATTGCTGACCCAAGATATTTCTAAAACAGGCTTCACTGGGAGCCTTGGATTCTCATCATCAACATGGCTCCAAAATCAATCTCATTGAGCTTTGCAAGAGAGGTTTAAGGTTTAAGATATAAGCAGAACCAGCTCCTAAAGAGGATGTAACAGATGCTAAGCCCTGACAGGGCTGGCGAATTCTAGCTCTTGGGGACTATACACCTGCCTCCCTGTCTCTCTACCACCCTTAGTAGACATTACTAATCAATTGCCATTACTAATCTATTCTGTTGAAACCAAACATAGGCTCAGAATCTTTAGCACAATGCTCCAGGTGGCCATGCTTAAAGGACAAGTTGGCATTCTCTGTCCTGTCCCTCTTTACTTTCTTCATTTCTGTGTCTTCCAAAACCTGGATCTGAAGAGTCGAATTCCAGATTCTAGACATAACTTCTCAGAGCTGTTCACCATGCCACTCCCCACTCCACTGGTACCAACTGCCTGAGCCCTGAGCCCTAGGGTTATTTTTGGAAGTCTTGAGTGTCAAAACAAGTTGGCTAGCTGTGTGCTCCCTGATGCTGATGTGAGCTTGACAAGCTGTAACCTAGCTTTAATTTCTCATTTTGAAGCATTAAATGTCAGGAGCTCAATTAACATTTTCATTATTGCATTTTTATTGTGCTCTTATTTAGGCTACAGATGTGTGGGAGCTAACATTCCCTTCCTGCTATTTTTAAAGAAAAAATATCAGCCTCAGTGATAAATTCTTACATATGTAGGGTACTTTCCTGCTTCTAAAGACCTCCCCAAATGCACATCAACGTCATAACATAATTCAATCACGTGTTTCCTCATTCATCTGTTGTACAATTATTTGTTAAGCAGCTCACTTTTAAGTTTGGGACATTTGTTCTGGGACCAGAGAGTTTGAGGATAAACTTGGGCAATATGGATAGGCTAGAAAATCTTAACTGCTTTCTTGTTTTTACAAATATAACCACAAGGTGATGCAAATGGAAGAAAAAGAAGGGGAGAGGGAAAAGGTGTGAAGGAATAAGACAGGAATTGTGGGCAGTCTAGGTGTAATCCAGGTGACTTCTACCATGCTTGACGACCATGGTGGTGGCTCAGTTGCTAAGTCGCTAAGTCTTGCGATCCCAGTAGCCCACCAGGCTCCTCTGTGGGATCCTCCAGACGAGAACACTGGAATGGGTTGCCATTTCCTTCTCCAGGTGCTTGACGACCATGGTCTGCTGAATATTGTCATCTTCTTCTGGAAACTCTTATCACTTTGATTACATATTCTGTACTGTTGGTTTATTCAGTAGCCTGGCACACAAGAAATATTTTGACAGGTTTAACTTGGAAACAGATACACATATGCACACACACACACACTCACACATACACCAGTTTTTCTTAACATAAAATTACATATGAGAAGGAAGATGTTCCTAGACTAGCATAGTGGTTTACTCTTCTGCTCTTTGCCATCATCGAGATCAATTTTGGAGAGATTAATGGTATACAGAATGAACAGTTCAAGAGATCCAAGCCAATCAATATTTGATCTTTGGGTGTTGCCTTTTAAACAGGTGTCCCTCTTGTATTATTTATTTGTTTTTTTCCATGTTAGGTTTGCTGGGGTTTTGATATGACACCAAGAAAAAGCTGTATAAATCTACCCTAAACATGACTTGGAAAACCTTCACTCTCTGCTATCCCTTTCCTCAACCCCAAGCACACTAATCTGTAAAGTGCCTGACATTTTCAAATAATCTGCTTCTGTTTTAGGCAACATTGGTCCGGAGCTCTCATATACTGACATCAGTGTGTTCATCTCTTCTGATGGGGGCAACACATGGAGACAGGTAACTGAGAGACTCGGGGACAGGGAAGAGATATTTAGGGCAAATTCGGCCAATATTTCTCTTGTCTTTGGGATTCTCAGGCTCATTGTGACTTTTTGTTTGTTAAAAAAAAAAAAATTGAAGCAGCAGTTCTGTTTGGTCAGTGTAGCTGGAAGAATAGATGGGCAGTGGGGTAAAATGGGAAGAGCTGGGCAAGGAATAAGAAGAACTGGGGTTTCCCTAGTTTGTTCATTCTTTCATTCAACAATAGGTATGAAACAGTTACCAGATGCTAATTCCCATTCCTGTGTGAGGTGATACAGTCAATTTAAATCTAAATTGTCTCATGTAGCTACTATATTGGACAACACAGATTTGTACAATGTCAACTAGTTGTCACGTATAAACCTGAGGAGGCCATTGAATACTTTTGAGTCCCTTTTCCCATGGAGCTCAAAATTAAGTAGAGGAAACAGGTCCATAAATAACTGTAGTTTAGATTATGTTATTTTAGTGTCATTATTAGCTTGCAGAGAAATGGGAGGAATTAATTCTACTTGGGCAAACTGGGAAAGACTTCATGAGAAGAGTTGACATTTTACTAAACCTTAAAGATGAGAAGGTTTCTATCTGAGGAAGAAAAAGGATGAGTATTGAGTGTCTTAATGATGAAGATGAATAAACTATCTGAAATCTATCTGTACAACTTTCTGTTTGGGTCCCTTAGTGAAGATTATTATCACCATCACCAACATCATCATCTTCACCCCCATTGCCATCACTTTCACCACTACCACTTACCAAAAAAAAAAAAAAATTACCAAGGACATACTAGACACAACCCCTATATTAACTACTATAAGGCCTACTCCAAAGAATAAATTAAGATTCCTGCCCACAAGGGAATCAACTAGATGAGGAACAGACACATAAATCAGAACATACTTTCAAAATATAAGATACTGTCTTATGAGTGCCAAATGGGGTAGAAACTGGAACGTAAATTCTTCTGGTCCAGAAATTCACAACAGACAAAATATTGTCCCTGAATAGAAGAAATAGCTCACCTGGCCAGGTGGCCACTGCAACACCCCTTCCTTGTGTTGTCACCACTTCGGTTTCCTTGTCTCTTTTTCCAAAGAACTAAGCATTCCAGCTTCCACTACAGTGCTGGACAGGGCAAGAGTTAGAAGTGGCCAGAATAATATTTTAGAGAGGATAGTATGAAGAAAAATAACTTCTTTCTTCTCCTCAGTACTGAGAATCTTCTTGTAATCCTTACTCTCAGACTTTGATCCAGTGCTTCTATTCATAGAGTCCACTTTTGAACTCAGACTCAGAGTCTATGTTTATATCTGGAATATAAAAAACAATAATCTTTAAGTCTTCTGTGTGTGAAAGCTCACCACTAGTGTGGACATTTAAAGGCAAATATGAGAAAGAAAACCAATTGAAAGGTTTAGGCCCAAGAGTCCATTTGCTTTTCTCTATGGTGTTCTCTGAGTCATATTTACTATTACCCTTTATAGTACGTCTCACTTAACCCACCATCCCAACCTCTCCATCCAGCTTGTAAGAGCCACCATTAGTGGTTAACAACTGGAGGAATTCTCTAATTCCACTTTTCTCTAGAAGATCTAGAGGAGATAACTTTTTCTCTGGCGGAGAAAATTTTTTCTGTCTTAGGTTGGAGACTTAAAAGTCATAAATTGTAAAAGTGTTGCTGTATGTGGAGTTAGGTCTGAGCTAAGGCTCTGAGACTTGCATCATGGTAGGTGCTTAGTAAATGGTTATGCAGATGGATGGACGGATCACCGAATAAATCAATGAGTGAATGGAAGGATTGATAGCTAATGGACAAATGAATGAATCAAAGAATAAGTAACTCTGCATCTCAGGAAGCATGGCGTCCCAGTGAACATTTAGCGTAAAGATCTCCAAGTGCTAAACTTAAGTCTTCATTCAACTAGCATGGAAACTTAGGATGTGGTGGCTAAGTCTGAGAACTCAGTTATCATGTAGACTATAATGTCTACATGTCTAAAAGGGATTGTCTTTTAAGTTCCTAGAAAGTTTATAACGCTACTATAAGATACATCACCAACTCAATGAACATGAGTTTGAGCAAACTCTGGGAGATGGTGAAGTATAGGGAAGCCTGGCGTGCTGCAGTCCATGGGGTCGTAAAGAGTCTGACATGACTGAACGAATGAATGAGACACAGACCATTTATAAATCAGCAAATGTCTCATTTGAAAAGATGAGAAAGAGAAAGCTGACTAGTAGCATACTCAGATGATAAAGTTTTTTGAAGCTATGTTTTCCACTGGGTTATCTAGTTGAGCATGGGTCTTGTTGCCTGAATTTCTTGTGGCATACTGAACAGTACTAGGGGAAGGAACCCTGGAAATGCCCTTTGAGTGGATTAGGGACAGTTGACAGTTATTTGTTCTCTGCTAGCCCACTTTTTCATCTATTAAATGGGGATGACATTGCTCGTCAAACTTTTTGATAGGATTGTTGGAAGGCTCAGAATCTAGATGAAAAAATATATGCGAACAACTTTGTAAACTTTCAAGCACCATGCAAATGTAAGGTGTTGCTATGATCCTTCTTGTTGTTGTTGTTCCAGATCTTTGATGAAGAGTACAATGTCTGGTTCCTAGACTGGGGTGGCGCCCTCGTGGCCATGAAACACACACCTCTGCCAGTCAGGCATTTGTGGTAAGGACAGCTTCCTACCCTATCAATGGAAAACTTTTCAGTGGAAAATATTGGGACAAGTTGTTATGCATGGTTTTATACCCATTTTACCCATTTCTTCATCCATTTCTTTATCCACCCCTTCATTTAACGTACATTACATCATCCAACTCTTAGGTAACAGTAGCTGACCAGATGATTTAGATGAGGAAGTATAATGAATAGTATTAAAATGCAAACATATTAAATACATTACTCAGCTACACGGCTAGTACCTGGCAGTACCAGGTTGGGTTTCTATCATCAATATGCTTCTCTCTTATCTGCTAATTTTCCAGAAATGTTAATAAATACAGAGTGTTATTACATGGTCTCTGTCCTCTGGGAGATCATAGTTAAGGTAAGGAGTTTAGATCATCCACATATTATCAGAAATCTAAGCAGTGCCTGCATGAGATTGCTGACTCTGTGCATTGCTGGAATCCTGAGGCTGGATGGAGCCCCCATGTCCCCAGTGTGTGAGCAGGGGTGGGGGTCTTCATACCATAGGTGGCCTGAGGGCTGATTCTTGAAGAAAGGATGCCGGGAGCAGGAATAGAAGTGGTGGGAGGAAAGCCAAGGGACAAGAAAACTCTGACCAAGCCTGGAATTCAGGAGACGTAGGGAGTGCTCTGAAGATTGTATTTGGTTGGAATAAAGAAAGTGAATAAGTAAGGATAGGTAGGATTCAAAAGAACTAAAACACAAGTTTAATGCATTTGGGTTGAATCTGTAGGTAATTCCTTCTAGTACCAAGACCTCTCTCTCTGTGGTAGGAAGAGCTCTCTCTGTTGAGGACTGAGGGGGGCTTACACTTCTAGAGAGGACAGCTTGACTCTTAAGTTCATTAATTTATTTTTTTTAACCAAGAAAAGTAACATCTCTTAGCCCTTATCATTGTATTCTAAGCATTGCTATCCAACTTGGGAAAAGTATTTAATGTTCTCTCAGGAAAATGTAACAGGATCAAATGTTGCTTCTCAAAGTCATTAATACAAAGTTTGATATTTCCCTTATTCCATGAAATATTTTTTTGGGGGGTTGGGAAAATAAATATTTATAGAGCTCAGGAAAAAAAAATAGCTATATTCCTACTGAATTTTCTCTTATAATAGTAACAATAATATTACCCCAATTTGTCCACCTTGTTCACTTCAATCTACAAAAGATTGAAGATGGTTGTTCAAACTAAGCTCTTGAAACAAAGTTTTTTCCACTTAGAGGATGTTGATACCGTCGTAAATGGTACAAATATTTCCCTAAAGTTAGTTACCACCCATGGTGTCTGCTTACTTGCCTACTAATGAATGCCCTTTTCTGAAATAGTCCCTGCAATGGTTAAATGTCAACTGCTGAGTGTGTCAGCAAACAACAATGGCACTTAACTCGTTCTAGAGTTCTTTGCACTCCTTTTTCACAGCTGAGTGTTTTGTAAGGGCCTGACCTTATCATTATCATCAATATTTCCTCATAAACTTCTTGACTTTGTCTCTGGCTGGCTTATGAGTTGCAAGTTTGTGAAAATCAAATGCAATTTCTTCATCACCAGTAGCTTCTAATTAAGTTACAACCTTCAAGGTAAACAAATAGCTTATTTTAAGTGGAAGAAAGGTTAAGGAATCAGTTCATTGTTCTTTTCTGTAGTAGGACTCAGACTGACATTATTTTGGCAGCACACACAGATGTATATATATTTGCATAAGAAAAAGACATTGGCCTACCCACTCTCCTGCAAGGGTATAGTGGCTCTCAAATTTAAATAATAGCTATATCACCTTTCAGAAAAAATTGGAACCATAATTGAAAAACTGGGGAAACTTTAGCTCAGCTAACAAGGCATGCTGTTTCCTATAAATTGAAATGATAGGTAGCTAGATATGCATGGAGACAAAACAGCATACAAATGAACCCATCCATTTGTGACTGTGTACACTTAGATCCATTGAGATTAGAATTTAAGTGCTATTTCAGGTAAGCCCTCCATCCAGTGTTATTAGTATTACCTTTGTACCTTAGAAGCATTAGAGTGAAATGAACAATGGAGCCCCATGGAATGCAATGCTCTAATGAAAACTTATAATAGAGTTACTCATCAGCGGGTAGACAGGGATCCTACTGTTTGCTTAGCCCTGACAAACTGTCAGTGTCTCCTTTCAATGGAATGTTCTTGGAAACTGGAAACAAAACATCACCTGGCCATTTTTGTTCTTTGCTCTTCTATAAGTGCTGATGAGCCCTGGCGTTTTTGTTCAGAGAAACATTCACCTGAAAACAATAGTTCCAACCAGTATGTGCCTCTGAGAAGAGAAAGTGCACGTGCTATTCTTAAGGACTTCCATGTAGCTTCATTGCCGTCACCTCATGCGTTTGGGATAATGTAAAATGGAGCAATACACCTAACCGAAGCAAGGAACCTTGATCATCCATGACCATTATAACTCTGTTTCTGTGCTAGAGTATTCAGGGGAGGACTCTGGTTGTTGTTGAAAGATTTTATTCCTTTTAGTGGCTCTCATCTCAGTGTGATAAAGTCACCAATGCATGGAGTTAGGAAGGGTCTTGGAGGAGACATAGTACAGCAGATCCCTGACAACTCGTGAGACACCGACCTTACCAGGACAGCACAGAGCTGACCAACTTACAGATGGATTCCCACCTTGTACATCAGCTTTAGTTGTTAGAACATTAGCTTTGTGCTGAACAATAATGATCTACTTTCTATTTCTGTCCATCAGTCCTTGTTCTGCTGCCCAGACCTATGCAGAGTAAATCTGTTCCAGAAATGGGTGTGAATTTTAGAGTCCTACACTTGGAAAGGACCTAAAGAGATGGCTCTGTCTAGGCTTTCTAACTTGTGGGAAGTTCTTGTGGGAAGATCAGATATGCAATTCAAGACTGGATTCCATGCATTTGTTCATTTATTTCTCACCTATTCATTGAGCCTATACTTTTTCTCCAGTATTAGTGTAGGAGTTGGGATATGCCAAAGGACAAAACAGAATACTCATTTTTTGTTGTTGTTGTTCAAATATTTGACTTTCCTTTTTAGAGCAATTATGAGAATACAAATCGTTTCCACCTTATTCTATCTGCATTTTTTGATTGGTATTTTCACGCACCTCTCCACATTCTAATTTCATTCAGACATTACTCCTTTTCTGTAGGCAGCAATTATTTTTGTGTGCTGAACTACTTGGATCTTTCTTACTTAAAAAGTTAAAAGGCGATGGTAAATTATTCAGCTCTTATTCTTCTTTCCCTTAAGCTTGATTCAATTCATAGAACCTGTTTCTAGAACAGCTTGTTTCTTAATTTTAATCACATTGATTGTCAGTTTTCTACAATGATTGAAACTGAACGTAGTGTTTAGGATCTGGTGAAAGGATTATTTCTTCTCTTACGTATGCTAGCTGTCTGTGAACACACCCTAGACTCACAATGACTTATTATCACAAAAGTGACCTTGCTAGAAAATATTTATCTTGTGATTGACAGTCACCTAAGTTTTTTTTTGTTTTGTTTTTTTCAGCTTGAGCTTCTCATGAGAGTTATTCTTTTTCCTTTCTCTGGCTATGGGAATCTTTGCTTTTATTTTAAAATAAATTATTCTGCTTTAAGTTGGTCTTATCTTATAAGTGACAGCCAAATCTACATGCCTGGCTTTGCTCTCTCTCCAGAAATCTGGGTGCATCCATCCAAAGGACTTCTTGACAGTGTTAAGTGTGGAAATCCAAAGCACATCTCAGCCTAGGTGGACTGAGCAGAAACAAAACAACAGAAAGCTTTGCTTTTCGATTCTTCCCATTTTCCTACCTCAGTTGCTTAACCCCCCAAATTCATGCTGTCTGTGATTTCTTTTTGTTCAAGCAAAAGTCTATTCATTTTATCTCTAAAAATATCCTAAAAGTCTTACTGACTTTACCTGTAAGAATAGCCTCAATCTCTCCATCTCTTCCTATATCCACTATTATAACCTCTGTCCAAGCCCCTTCTCTTATTTGGTCTCTTACAATTACCACACCTCCCCTTCCCCCCAACACCCCCCCCCCCCACTGATTCATCTCCCTACATCCTGTTTGGGCCCTGACAGTCCACTCACCACAAAGGAATAAAAGTTATCTTGTAATGGTTAAATCAGATCTTATCTCTCTCATTTCAGTTTGGAAGCAAAGTCATTTGTAACCTGCCCCAGCCTTATTTTCTTGACTCCATTTCCTCCTATCAACCCTCTTCCACTAATCTACAACCACCTACCGGCCTTCTGTTCTTCATTTCACACCAGATCCGCCCTCCAGAATGGCTCTCACCTTGATCTTTGCATAGCAAATTCCTTGTTATCATTCAGATCTCAGTTTAAGTGTCACCTCCTCAGAGAGGACTTTCTTAAATTTTCAATGCGAAGTAGCTTCACTCTCTATCATATCACTCTATTTTAACTGTCTTCCTGACACTTACTTTAACATATATTTTTAGCCCATTTATCTACATGTTGTTTGTCTCCTCAAACTAGAATACAATTCCAGTGAAACTAGGGCATTTCATGTTCACTGCTGTATCCCTACACATAGGCCAGACCAGTACATAATTGAATATTCATAGGTGAATCCTACCTTTTATAGTCCTGTCTTGTCACTATTTAGAGGTCAGTGGTAAATTTACTCCTATCTCCCTGGTACTGGTGATCTTATCATTTCAGCTTCACCTGTAGGGCTAAAAGAATTCCCAGTTCCTTTGTCTTGCCCATTAATGAGCTAAAAATTGAGAAGGAGAAGGTGGGTCCTGTGGGGTTACCATTCAATATAGTTACTTCAGAACATTAAAAACTCCTAGTTAGTTATCTGAAAGAATAGCTCTCACAAATGGCAGACCCAAATTTCTGATACTCAAGAGATTAACTTTTATAATGTTGTATTTTTTGGATTTTCTTTAGGAGTTTTAGTTTTAATAATTATCATCTCAGTGTGAGAAATTTGGGTGCTAGAAATTACTGATCTCAGAAAGTCACTTGAATGGCACAAACCTGGGCTTCCTAGTGATACGCAGACCGTAAATTATAATCACAGCATTCATCCTTCAGCCTGGCTCCAGAGATTGTCCCCTTGTTTGTGTTCATTTTACATCAGCTGTAGACTTTGGTTATTATCTATGTTAGCCTTCCCACTTGGATGTTGGCATTTCCTAGTTTTTTTTGCCTGATCCTATCCTTCCATTTAATCCATGCTTTTGCTTTTTCATGTAGATTCAGTTCATGCAGCATGCTTTTATTTTCCAACAACCCATTTCTCCACCTTGGGCTTCATTTTTCTTTGGAACTTCCATCTCAGAACTCAGAGCTCAGAAGGCTGTGAATGGTCCCTCTGTTTCTACTTTGTGGTATCTTATCTTCATGTATAAAGTAAAGATGGTTGTCCTCTGCCCTATTAATGGTAGTGATTTGAAGGTTCCTCCTTCCCTGGGATGCTCTTGGCACTCACTGCAGTTTTTTTTCTGCTGGTGTTAATAACTGACCTTCATCATTAAGGAAACTGAGAATGAGACCAGGACAGAGGCCTTTAAAAACCACTTTGACTTCTTCCTGTCAAGACAATAATTAGTCAATCCAAAGTTGTCAAAATAAACCAGGAGCTAAATAAATACATTTTTTTTTAAAATTCCTGTACTTACCAGATAGAGTTAACTAGTTAGCAGCCATGACATATTTTGAAGCACCTGTGATTCATTAGGAATCAAACCAAGAGGATACATGGCAGGAAAGGTAAACCCATTCCTAATTATACTCTCACTTTCACTTTTAAAATGAGAAACTCATTTCCATGAGAAGCAATTCAGATTTGCCCAACTTCCTCTGGTTTCACATCAATGACTCTGTAGCCTCAGCCTATTAAAAGAATAAGCCAAGTCCGTAAAAGTCGAAATGAGATTGTTAACAATCATCATCATGCTGTACATTAGGTCTCCAAGAACTCATTCATCTTGCATAACTGAAACTTTGTACCTTTCTCCCTCCTGCCCACTCTCCATTCCCACCCCCTCAGAGACCAGCTTCATTATGACCAACCTTTCTCTATATCTCTATCTATCTATTAAAATATCTTTTTACACTTTAAATAAGATGTACAATTTTTTAATGTCAAAGATATCTCAGTAAAGTTGATCAAGAGAAAGTAAAAGTCAAGACTGATGCTGATAATTTAGGAACAGAGGATGAGATGGTTGAATGGCATCACCAACTCAATGGACATGAGTTTGAGCAAGCTCCAGGAGCTGGTGATGGACAGGGAAGCCTGGCATGCTGCAGTCTATGGGGTTGCAAAGAGTTGGACACAACTGAGCAACTGAACTGAACTGAAAAAATTTTATGACCACTGTCTGATTTTGTTTATAAAAGCAGGCATAGATATACCAGAAATATAAAACTTGTTTCATGACAGACTAGTTTTTGTAGCTGAGTAAAGAGACTGACTTTCTCATTTTTAAGATCAGTTTATTTGGGGAGAGAGAATAAGGTAGAGAGACACATTTGTAGAGACTGGGCTGAGTAGGCTGACTAGTAATGGGGACAGAGATTTGTATCTAGTTCATGGATGTTAGTATAAGTCATGCTTGAAAAGTGACTGGATAGATTAGAAGAGTTTTCTTAATCATTCCTTTTTTTAAAAAATTTATATATTCATCTAACATTTATATAGTACCATGTGCCAATGTTTCTGCTAATTACTAGGAATGCAAAAATGAATAGTATGGTCTTTGACCTCAAAAAGATTACAGCTCAGTGAGAGAGTCAGACATATGTTTTAAAACTGTATGTAACATCAGGTAAGAAGCATTATAATAATGGTGATATCAAGGAGGTGGGAGGGGATCAGACAATGAACAAAACCTATGTGACTCCTGAATTCACACGATTATAATGTTGAACGGAGGGATTCAAGGTGAGTTAAGAATTCACTCAGCACTATGATAGGGGAAGGCCTGAATGTTGTAGGAAAATAGTTTCTACAGTTGAACTCAGAGAACTGTGTGTTGTGGAGTCAGAGAAGGCTTAAGAACTAACCAGGCCAAAAGGATCACAGAAAATGAAGTAAGTAAAGATGCTTTGGGGAAGGAGGAGTGTTGAGAAAAGTTTCTCAGTGAAGATGGTCTTTGAATTTTGTCCTCTGGTTAAATCAAGCAACAGTTGGGAATTCCATAATATCAAGAAAGGGATATTATTAAGGAATTGACCGCTCAAGATTGCTCAAATCTTCTTCACTAAGCAGCATCCTTTTAAAGAGTTTCAGAGGCTGTGTCCACAAAGGGCCAGGCCTTCCTCTTCTCGCTGGTCAAAAGATGGAACAGTGTTGCCCAGGACGTCTCAGGCACTCAGTACTTGTCCCTAAGAGCCGCTTAAAGCGGCATCAGGGAGGGAAAATGATACTTCATCCATTCTGAACAAATAGGAAATTGCTATTTTTGATCTGAAAGACACACACCTCCCTTCCCATACGGTACACCCCACACTATACTCAATTTATCCGTGTCAAAAACTCCAGAGACTGAATTGATTGTGCTGTAAATTGAACCTCAGGTTCCATTCTGAGTACTTGAAACGTGACACTCCATCCACTAATTCCGCCTGCCTGGCTTGTTTTTTCTTTTTTTCCCCCCAATTCTAAGATGTTGAAATATTTTTGCAGTTCTTGGGGCTGTCTCTGCCTGGGCTGGGAAATGCCATTTTGATCAAATCTCATAATAATATAGAGAAGATTGAAGATGAATGCCTATTGATAATCCAGACTGCCATAAAATGAGATAAGAGGAGAGTTTAATAACCTGAAAAGCAGTTGTGAAAGAGTGTGGTTTTCTCTTCAGCTCTCTCTTCCATGTACTTGTTTCCAACCCAGGGTGAGTTTTGACGAGGGCCACTCCTGGGACAAGTATGGTTTCACTTCGGTTCCTCTCTTTGTGGACGGGGCCCTGGTGGAGGCAGGCGTGGAGACCCAGATTATGACGTGAGTACTTCTTTGTGGCTGAGAAGAATTCAGGGGCTTGGTTTCTGCTTCCATAGAGGCCGTGGGTTTTCCCCAGGGAGGCTTACACCAAAGCATTTCAGTCTCTGGGCCAGTTTCCTCATCTGTAAGATGCTTACACCCACCAATTCAAACGGATACTGACAGGATTGGAGAAGCTGGGCTTAACAGAAAAGTTAAGGTTTCTCATAGAATTAGAGTATTGTAACAAATTTCCATTTATCCAAAACCCAAGCAAACAGAAAACTTAAGGCTTCAGATATGTTTTCTCTTTCCAAAACAGCTCAGTAAAGGACTAAGGATGGGAACAGAGGGAATAAAACAGCCAATTTACTGAAAACAGGGAATGTTTAAAGGGAACCTCCTGGAGTCTGTGAGACGCATACACACACAGTTACTGTTGTTCCACTTCAGATTCATTTGCTGTGAAAAATTTTCCATAGTCCTTTACAGTGAGCGTAGATGCTGGGGATATATGTCTGAAAGCTATATAAAGCCCCAAAGTACTTTCTGAATATTAAAGAAGATAGCTTGATGTTTTCTAAAAATATATCAAAATCTAATTCTCAAAAAATGGATGACCCGTGTGTGTTTGTGTGCACTTGTATATGTAGAGGAATGTTAGGGAATGGTTATGGTAATACTTCACCAATAAAACCAAACCACACCTCACCTCACCTTCCCCACTCCCAAGAGACTGGAATACTCTACACTTTAATTATTCACTAGACAGAATGAAGGGAGTCTTCTGAGCAAGATTAAGGGGAATTTGCTGTACTGTACTGTGGAGTTGTCACAGAAAGGCTTACAGAGTGCTTCTGGACTGGTTTGGGGGAAGGTTGTCTTTTTACTCTAAGAGAGAGTGCTGTTCTTTTAACCTTTGTGTTCATTAATTTCTTTATAGCCAGAATCAGTCTTCCTGAAGAGACTGATGAGCTTTGAGGAGGAGGCAAATGGCTAATTCCTATGCTTTACCTTTCCTCCAGAGTGTTGTTAAAAAATTATTTTTAGCTGTGGATATGCAGTTTTGATCAAATGTTATAATCTAGCCCCAGACTGGACCACTTTTACCATGTTCCTCACCTCCACTTCCATCCTCATATCCAGAGAGTCGTCCAGCCACTTCTCTGAGCTTTCAGAAATACAGAAAGAACCCAGCCATGATGGAAAATGGTGCACAAATTGGGGAAAAGAAGCAAACAAAACAAGTGGACAAAAGTCCAGTCCTAAGAAACTCAGCAGAAACACTGCAAAGGGGTTTCTTGTCTATAGGATTTGTCTACATCAAGAGTCTTTTAGGATTCTCAATGTCCTCGTTATTTAAAAAATGTTCATAACAGAAAATTTGGCTCCACAGTATGTCTTTAAAATTATTAGGAACAAATGCAGCAAAGAGTGATTTTAAATTATCTTTAACTCTCTGAATTTTCCAAATTGCCTGTACAGACTTCCCTCAAACTTGAGGCGTTTGTGAAACATGTCTTTTAAAGCCGTAACAATCATTTTTGAGCATGTTGTTTGTGTTTGGCACGTAGACTCTATGGTTGGAAAGTGAAAGACATGATGTCAAACCCTATGAAGAACTACTGTAAATCTTCCCAGTGGATGTATTTCGTTTGTAACTGGTGTCCTTAGGTGCAAACTTTTGCCATGACAGGACTTCTCTGGACAATTTTGTTGTACAGTGTGAGGATTTCCTGTAGAATTTGTTACTCAGGAAGTACAGATTTAATTTGAGTTTTCTTTTCATTCCCCTAAAATATCCTCTAAAACAGATATCTTACCATCTAAATTTCTGATTAAAATTTCTATGATAACAAATGAACTCTGTGGGTAAGCTGGTGAGTCACTTGATTATTAAGAGTTAACAATATTGTATGCAAGTTTAGCTGTTCAGGCCATAGACAATATTTAAGATATAGATGTTATTAATGCTTAGCATCTAAAGCTTCAGCATTTGATGAATACACAGCAATGATGTATTGCATAAACACAAGGACTAAATATTCAAAGACACTATCATAATACAAATTTTATTTCTAAAATATAAATGATATGAGAAATATGTAGACATATTTATTAGTGAATATGTATGTGCAAGCATTTTTGTATATATACATATGCACACATATACATGTACACATAGATACACATGTATATATGGAGAGATTTAGACAACAGAGGTACGAAAATGAGAGAGAAATTCCAAGATCTAGGATTGTGGCAAAACCTTCATAAAGTTATACTACTAAAAAACTAGTGGTACCTTTTTGCCAGATACTCTTATTGATGAGCAAATCAAGAAGAAACCCCAGTCCTTGTGAAATTTGCATACTTGTGCATTAAATAAATATGACACAAATGACTCTGTCATGTTATGCAGAATACTCTGCCAAGAGATGAAAATATTTTCGTAGGAACTCCAGGAAGCACATCACAGAATACTAGGAATACCACCTTCTTTTTTCATAAGCTGACTTTTCCAAATTAGTTCCCATACTTTGTCACTAGCTATGAAAAGAATGCCTTCTTTTCTAGAACCTCCTGTAATACAACCACTAAAGGGTTTTAAGTTATGGGTTCCAAGTTCTATAGGGCAAAGGTACCTACACTCAAGAAGATTGTGCAATCTGCTTTGAATTTATCAAGCCAGATGTGGCTTTTCAGATCTGATGACAAGCCCTAGAATATTGACACAGCTCTGGATCGGACAGTGACAATACAAGCGGTCCTAAGGTTAGCTTTTCCCTGTTTATGTAGCAAAGAGATATACTTGTCCTCCTTTTATTCTGTGTTCTCCTCATCTCTTTATGTGATTTATCCTGCATGCTCCCCTATGTGGCCACTCTGAACTCATCTCATGCTTCTCTTGGGTATTACTTTGAATAATAGTGCTTATACACCAGTCTCTACATGACCTGGCACTCCCTGGAAAGTTTAAGGCCACAGTTTAAATTCTGTATCTATCTAATCATAAACGGTAGTACTTTTTTTTCTTAACTTCAGATGGGGTTTAGTTGGTCACATGGATATGAAGGAGGAGGTTGACCTCAGGGCTAAACCATTTACTGAAAAGATGATATAGCCCTTCTGTTTTCCTTTCCTCCCCAATAAGACTCCAAGGAGTGTGGTAGAGTTTTGTCCTCCTTCTACGTTGCTTATCAAGATCCTTTAAATGTTAGTAAGTAGAAAAGGAACTAGAATAGTGCATAAGTTTCTTATATGGGATTTGAGACAGGCAGGTGTTTGTCTTTAATGGAATAAAGATGAGTTTTGGAAGCAAACACCCAACTGACTAAACAATTCAAGCTTCCTATTTTTAAGTTTTCATTAAATTCAAAGTTTCTGTAGTATGAAAATGACCCAAGGCCCTTTAGATAGCAGAAGGGTAGTCTCTGGAATGATTGCCAAGAGGCAATTTCTGTCTCGATTTTAGGTTTAAAAAGGACTTTAAAACCAAGTGACCCACTAGGATGACCACTGCTTTTCTTCAAGGAATGGCCATGCAAAGACTGAAGCAGGAGTTCAAAAAATTTTATATATCCCTTATGAATTTCAAGGACAGGAAGTGCATTTCAGGACAAGATTGCTTGACCTTGCCATTTAACCAAAAACTTACTAATGATGTAATTCAAATAATGATGTCAGTTATTTGAATTCTGTATCTTTCCTCTTTCTGGTTAACCTTGACTCTGGTGTTCAACTAGAATCAGGCAGAAAGAAAGGCTAACTCATTCACACTGAGGTTTTATTGCCTTATCCTGTTACATTCATTTAAATATTTGTAAGTTTGTGATGGTTAATGTTATGTGTCAACTTGACTGGGTCATGAGGTACCTAGACACTTGGTCAGACATTATTGTGGATGCTTCTGTGAAGGTGTTTTTGGGTAAGATTAGCATTTAAATCAGTAGACCCAGTAAAACAGATCATCCTCCCTAATGTGGTAGAACTTATCCAATCAGTTGAAAATCTGGATAGAACTAAAAGGAACTAAAAGGCTAACTCTTCCCTGGGCAAGAGAGAATGCTTCTTGCCTGGCTGCATTTGAAATGGGACATGGCTTTTTCTTGCCTTTGACTCCAACTGAAACTTCCACTTTTCCTGAGGTTCAAGCTTGGGATTCCACCACTGGCCCTTCTGTGTCTCCAGCTTGCTAAACTACTCTGCAGGTCTTGGGACATGTCAGCCCCCATATCTGTATAAGCCAGTTCCATATAATAAGTCTCTCTCTCTCTCTCTTTCCCATCTCTATCTTTGTGTCTTTTTCTATCACTATCACCTATTCACTCTGTTTCTCTAGAGAGCCCTGACTGCTACATAGTTAATTAATTCAAAAACATTTAATGAGATTCTAATATATTTTAGACTCCTTTATGGGATATTAAAGAGGTAAATATAACTCTTTCTACCTTTAAGGAGCTCTCAGTCCAGTGTGTTGGTGTGGGGGGAAATGAGATACACAATCTTCAGGAAATCCTAGTTAGAAAACCAGGATATAAGTAGAAGGAAGTAAAAAACTTCACATATACGAAAGGTGACAACTGAGTCAGTCTGGAAGTTTCAATAGCAGTTCACCAGTAGAAAACCAATTTATAGGTAATAGAGTGTAAGTTCAAAGAAAGCACACATTTTTAATAGTTTTGCTGAGTACTATAACTGCAATGCCTAAAATGGGAGTAGGTGCATAGTAGAAATCAGTAATTATTGGTTGAAAGAATGAGTGACTTCAAAGCAAAGGAAAGAATCATGAGAGCATGTGACTGAGGTTAAGTGATATTGAGCAGTAGAACCTATGAAGGGTCTTAGGTTATATTTAGGAATTTGACTTATATTCAGAGTGTTCTTGAAATTGAAAATATGGAAACATCACTCCTCTTCTCAAAACCCTTCTTCAAAACTCTTCTCCAAAGTGGAAGGCTTTCCACTGCCTTTCAGATAAAGTCCAAACTCATTGAATGGTCTACAAATACCTACACTGA